GAGGGCTACAAGGATGATGAGGGGACTGGAACATCTCCCCTACAAGGAGAGGCTGAGGGAGCTGGGCTTGTTCAGCCTGAAGAAGAGAAGGCTGAGAGGGGACCTAATAAATGCTTATAAATCTCTTCAGGGTGGGTGTCAGGAGGATGGGGCCAAGCTCTTTTCAGTGGTGCCCAGTGACAGGAGGTCCCTTCCAACCCCTACTATTCTGTGATTCTGTGATTCTGTGCTGTGTTTCGCTTGGCGGTGGCTCAGACTGAGCTGTTACGGCCGGTGCTCCTGAGGAGCAGAAGGTGGGCACTCGAGGCATGGCCCTGGCAGCTGTCCTCCAGCACGAGGAGCAGGCAGCACCGAACATGAGGTAGAGGATAGTCCTGTGAATTCTGCTCCCTGTAGGTGATCAATAGAGATTTGGACTAGAAAATGAATCCCTGCTTTTGTAGTCCCTATAATGGCTGCTTCTAACTTCAAACTTAAAAATCTCTAACTAAATCTCCTAAAAAACCTTCTCTTAGGTCACTTCCATCATTTTAACTACCTCCATCACAAGTGCTGCCTCAGGAGAAGCAGTGCTTCTGTCAGATCCTGCACCGCTGGACGTCTGCGGCACAGATCTCCCCGTGCAATCAGACGTGTCCTGCATTTGGGCAGTTGGATTTGGCTTGTTCTGGGTTATTATTTATGCAATAAGTGGAAGCACATCAGTTTTGCCCACTGCCCGTTTTTGCGGCTTACTGAATGTGTATTTTTGTGTTTCTGGTAGAGCAATTCCACGTTTACTTCTGTGGGATAAAGAGCAAAAGCAAGCCTCATATTTGTTTTATTACCCTGGTTATCATTTCCCACCATGCTGCGTTCTAGTCTTAGCCTCATGCTCTCTCGTTTATGTCCTGCAGCAGGACTGCCCTAGTTGGTTAACCGTATTTCAAAGACAAAATGGGTTTTAAGCTTCATTTGTCCCTGTTTTTCCTGCAGCATCCGTGGTTATGATTCGATATATTTCAGAGTTCCTTTTCTATGATACCTTTTACGTCCTTGCTTTTCCTTCATGCACTTTTTCATGCTGCCCAGAAGACAGCAGAGCCGGTGCTTTGGATGGGCGTTTAGATGACATCTCGCATTCATTTGGCAGGGCAAAAGGCATCTGAAGATTTCAGAGCCTGTGCTGTTCTGTCTCCTTGGGCTTCTCCGTGCCGCCTGTTCCATCTGCTGCTCACGTGCATTTGGGCAGCAGCAGGACTTTACAGGACTGTGCTTTGGATGGGCGTTTAGATGACATCTCGCATTCATTTGGCAGGGCAAAAGGCATCTGAAGATTTCAGAGCCTGTGCTGTTCTGTCTCCTTGGGCTTCTCCGTGCCACCTGTTCCATCTGCTGCTCACGTACATTTGGGCAGCAGCAGGACTGTACAGGACCGGGCTGAAGCAAGGATGAGGAGGATTTACCACAGCCTCGGCTAAGCACAGCCCTAAGGCAGCTGGTTATCTTCTTCTGAGTTAGAGACAGGTTCCAGAGAGATTTATGGCAGTGTTGGGACTCCTGCTCTGTTTTCAGATCCCATGTGACGACATGTGACGGTTGTCTTTCCAGCTCGTTAACGCTGTTGGCCTTGCCGTGTGTTGCAGGTTGGGGCGGATGGTTTGCTGAAGCTGAGTGGCTCTGCGCTCAACAACGAGTTCTTCACTTCAGCTGCCCAAGGCTGGAAGGAGAGGCTGTCAGAAGGTAAAACTTCCCCAGACAATGAAGGAAAATGCTAGCAGGCTTTCAGCTAGTGAACATTTTGAGGAACGTGTAACAGGTGTTTGATGGAGAAGCTGAAGCACTGGCGTGACTTACCAGGTGAAGACAGCTGTAGTCAGTACGGCCCACGAGAGCAAATGCAAGCCTGGAGCTGTGTAAACTCCAGGTCATAGAGGGGGCTGCGGCAAGGAGTTCTCTTTGGAACTTCACATGTGGGAAAGTGAGCAAGTCTCTCGAAGAAATGAGAAAAGCATTGAGTCTCCTTCTCTGGAGATATTCAAGACCCACCTGGACAAGGCCCTCTGCAGCCTGCTCTGGGTGACCCTGCTTCGGCAGGAGGGTTGGACTGGGTGACCCACAGAGGTCCCTGCCAGCCCCGACCATGCTGGGATTCTGTGATTCTGTGAAGCAGGAAAAATGCGTTTAAGATCTCGGTGAGATGACAGTAGAGCTGTGTTATTGTCAAGCTGTGGTAGCTAAGTGTAGCCCTCTGCTAAGATCAGGAGAGAAGGTAAATTGCATTCCCAAAGTAATCTACTTCATCTAGCCACCGTTGATATGGTCAGTCCTTTGAGCCATAGTTTTTTATATAGTGTATAAAGACACCCATTTACTAATCTACAGGACTCCTGCACCTTCAGCAATCGTTTGCATCTTGAACGCAGAGATGCTGAATTCCATGACCTGCCCAAATCCCATCACCAGAAGAGCTCTCGCTCGTTGTGGGCAGGGTCCATTTCCTCCACAGACCTGAACCACGCAGCCTTTCACAAGAGCTTTTCTGAAGCCTGTAGCACCAGTGGTGACTCCCTTTAAGAAGAAGGGAATATCATTGACTCATGCCCAGACAATTGTCTCTTAAGAGGTTTTTCCACAGAGAATGTATCCAGTTCCATATGAATGACCCTTTATATTTCGTGGATTCTGGGTCAGTCTGTGCCAGTAAACAGAACTCAGCTCTCTGTAGTGTTTAATTGTTAAGCCTACTCCCAGTTTTGGCCCCCATCATTTAGTGTTTTCCCTTCAGTGCGTCTTGGAAGACCTTTTGTCCGTCCATGTCTACGCATCTAGAGGGTGCAGCTACGTTTACACCAAGACTTTCTCACCAGAGTAAAACTCCTGTAGAGCCTGCTGCGATGCTAAAGCTTGCAACGATCAGGGTGAAGTCTGGAGACCCCCACTGACATTCGCACTGAGCGCTGTGTGTCTGCTCGGGTATCAAAGCACGCTGCCACTGTGGGCAGAGCAGTCCTGTAGGCTTTCTTCGGCTGCTCGTCAAGGTGCTGGCGATTCGTAACAGAATCACAGAATCACAGAATAGTAGGGGTTGGAAGGGCCCTCTGTGGGTCACCCAGCCCAACCCCCTGCCCAAGCAGGTCACCCAGAGCAGGCTGCACAGGACCTTGTCCAGGCGGGTCTTGAATATCTCCAGAGAAGGAGACTCCACAACCTGCCTGGCCAGCCTGGGCCAGGGCTCCGTCACCCTCAGAGGGAAGAAGTTCTTCCTCGTGTTCAGACGGAAACAACGCTGTCTGGGGTCATCCACAGTGTTATTGGGCATATGCAGGCCTGGTCAGCCTCCGTGTCATCACTGGGACAGTCACGGAGCGAGCCCTCCTGGAGCAGGTCTCTGGGCACGTGAAGAAGGTGGTGACTGGAAACAGCCAGCATGGTTTCACCAGGGGTAAATCATGCCTGAGCAGCCTGACTGCATTAAAAAGGACTGAGTTTGTGAACAAGAGGAGCGTGGTGGGCATCATTTGCCTCAGCCTAAGCAAAGCTTTTGATGGCCGTCTCCCACAGCGCTTGGGTATCCGCGCTGGGACATTAGGCTCTAGATGGGTGGACAAGCTGTGAGCTGGAGGTTGGACTTAGGAGACCTCCTGAGGTCCCCATCAACCCTTAGGTAGACGTTCATAAGTAAATTACTTCCACTTGACTGCGAGCTGCCCCGTGGGCAGTGCAAGCTTGGGGCGATGCGGACGCGTGCTTTTAGCTGAGATCTCCCAGCTGGGAGACAAAGGGGGCATAGCCACGGAATGAAGGTCCAAGGATTCGCCACCACCACAGAGACTATTTCCAAAGAACGAATTTTGCACCCTGCTGCTGAATTACTGTAAGCAAAGGCAGGCATTCTGCTGTTTTCAGTGCAACAGACGTTCTAGGTTCATTTACCTGACCAAGTTTATACGAAAGTGGAAAATAAAGTCGAGGTACCAGAGATTGTGGTTTGGTCCTGATTCGAAGATCCGGTAAGAAAAACCTAACAGCACAATGTACACTGCTCAGCAGGGATTCTTTATTGCGGCGCCGGGCACACGGGGGATTTCTCCTCCAAACGTGCGCGCCAGACACCCTGTTGCTTCAGGTTAAATACAATCACACAGGTCATTATTCATTATATTTCTAGGAACTAATTAGCATATGTAAATATCTTTCACGCATGTCTGTTAGTATCTTTGGGTGGTCTTCGGGGGTCCCAAGATGAAGGCCCATCCTCTTCATCACGCTGTTCACTGATTGACATTTGTTTCTGCGCACTCAGTTCTAGCATCACGTCCATCATGTCCTTCAGGTTGTTTTGCTCCAGTCTTGTTGCTCTCTTGGTGCCTCCTGATCTCTGGAGCCTGGCGCATTTGCCCTCCCAAGGCTGAGCTGTCTGGAGTAGAGTTATTTAGGAGTCTCTTTTATCCCACAATTATCCCAATTATTTGCTGAGAATCAAGACCACTTTTGTTTCACTTAATTATTTTGTCTAACGACTAAGTGATAGCTTGTGCCCATGTCCTTCCACTACATTCCTTAATGAGAGAACAGGGATTAGTGGAACAGTTATATTGTTAGATCACTATGCATGCAGAAATACAAGTTACAGTACTAAAGACTACTAAAAACTAGAAAATATTAAGGCTTTTTGTTATAGTTTCACATTTCTTACAATCCCCTCTATCAGTCCCTCTGTACTTGCCGCAATAAGAGGATGACTCCTGATTTAATACTGGCGAGTATCGGTGTACTAAAAAGGGGCACACTCTTAGTTTCCTTTGGATGTATTTTGATAACTGCATGGAGAACAAACTCAGCAAGAATTCCTTAGGATTCCCTTACTTGACGGGAGAAAATTATTGAGAAAGAAACTGTGCAGTGATGGAAGTACCCAATTTCTGTTGCTCTCTTTAAGGAATCCCCTCTCTTTGGTAACTGCAGCGTTAGAAAAGCTCTGATTCTAGTAACTGTCTCCTCCAGAGCTAAAGAGCACAAGCAAAACGCTGTGTGAGCTAGAGAAGCCGGGAGAATGAAGGAAGTCTTGCGGCTCGAGCTCACATGTCTGTCATCAAAGCACTGCAGCTGTGCCAAAACCCCAAGCCTTCTTGTTTTTAAATGATGAACTCTTAAAGAATTAACATATGGTCCTAGAAACCGTCATGGTTCGAAGCTGCGCCGGGGAGGGTTCAGACTTGCCATTAGGAAACATTTCCTACCAGCCGCAGTGCGTGGAGGTGTGAAATGCGCCCTTCAGATGCGTGAGAGGGTTTTTTGAGTTTCCCACCTGCCTGCGACAGAAAAGCATCCGATGCCAGAAATGTTTTCTGTCATTTGTGCGGGGCAAGAAGCCTTTGCTGCTCTTGCAGATGTGTTTCCCCGCAGCCGGCCAGGGCTGTCGCTTCAGGGTGCCATATTGCCTTGCCATCTGCACGGGCAGTGTCTTCGGAGCCTTCAGAAAATGGCAGTCCCGCAGTGCACACCTACATACAACATACGTTTGTGTATAGATATGTATTCCTTTAATAAGCGCCGTTTCACATAACGCGTCTGTCGGCAGCCGGAGTGGACGCTGGCAGGGAAGGGAGCTGTGACTGTCGGGCGTGAAGCTGTCGCCCACCCACGGCGAGGAGCAGGCAGCAGAGAAGCACCTCCAAGCTCAGGAGCGATGCCCGCAGGCAGGGCGACAGTGTCACCGCCTCTGCCGGGGACTCCTGTGCTTATCCCGATCCGCTTCATCCGTCGCCTTTTTTGAAGGTATCCCTCATTGCGTTTTGCAGGTGAGTTCACACCAGAAATGCAGCTGAGAATACGGCAAGAAATAGAAAAGGAAAAGAAGGTTGAGCTGTGGAAGGAACATTTTTTTGAGAGCTACTACGGTCAGAGGTAAGACATTCCGCTGTCGTCGTTACTCCCGCACTGCCTCTCCAGACGTAGCGGGTGCCGCATTTGTAGCGTGCTGTGCATCGATAAATGTTACTTTTCGTTAGCCCTGGAACCTAAAGAAAGTCTCTGCCTTCCTCTGGCTGCCACAGAACTGCGAAAAGCCCAGGTGAGCTGGGTCAGCAGCGATGCGTTTGCTGTCAGGGTTTCTAACGCTTTAACCGGCGTGGTACCGTCTTCCATAGGCGAGGGTGTCTTTCAGAGTTTGCATTTAGCTCTCCGCACGCCGCGCTACGGCAGTCTGAGACGCTCCCCTCCTGCGGTTCTTCTGGTGTCGGGATCCTGGTGATCAGCGGGGGTGCGGTGGCTGAGCCTGCTCTGCCTTGCACTAGGTCACCTGCTGCGTGAAATCTTGAGTATCTCTCCAGTCAGACATGTATTGGGTTAAGGGCCCGAGTCTGCAAGTCTTTTATTCTCCGTTTCTCTTCGCTTCAGGATTTTCCCATCCTTTTGGGCTATGGGGAGGATTTCAGGTTTCTGTGCGAATAACTACGAAGAAACCTGAAAACCAACAGACGCGTGTAACGAACTCGTGAGGAATTCTTATCCTGCGTCGTGACTGTTAGCGCTTACGCTTGTCCTGGGACTGTCCGCCAGTTTCCCTCCCTTTCAGCCACGATGTTTGAACCCTCTAGAGCATTTGGATTATGGCAAGCCCTATTTTTACCGTTCCGTGGTCTGATAGTTTGGGGTTTCGTGGGTGAGGAGGAGGCTGGTGTGGGGGTGTCCATCTGGCAGGCTGCGGTACTGAGCAGAGGAACACCAGGCCGAGAACGCAAGGGGTCTGCTGGCGTTAGCAAAGAGCTTTACTCGGGGAACTGACCGGGTTCTCCGAGTGCTGGCAGCCAGGGTGTCACCACGCACGGAGCTCAGTGCTGGAAGATAAAAGGTGGCAGCCGTGTTCTTGAAGCTTTAGGGGGACAGGGGACAGCAGGACAGCGTGGAGGTGACGTGCACAATAGCAGGACTTCGGTTCTCTCTCGCTCCGAAGAACTGGTCTGGTAGAAGTCAATCCCATAGATGCATCAGGCTGGCTTCATCAGACTCTGTGGGTTCATGTTTGGGCAAAAAACCCAAATCTGATATTTCGTTAAGAGGGATGGGTGAAGTTAATCCCAAAGCAGAGATTAGATTCCCAGCTTGTTCACTTCTTTCACAAATAAAGGTGGAAGAATAATACAGGGAAACACTCCCGGCTTTTTGATGATGACGAGGGGGAGCGGTGCCGGTCCCAAGCCCAGGGTACGTCCGTGGTCCTGGCACTAGCCGTGTGCCTCGGCAGCAAACGGTGGGACGCCTTGCAGTGTCCCCTTCTGCAGATGTCACCGTATGAGCTGAAGTCAGACGCAAGCGGTGCGGGGTCTGCTGCAGAGATACGTCTGTGGTGGCTAATAAAGGGAATATTTGCTGTTGGCCAGATCCATTTGATCTGCAGCCAGACTGGTGTCTGGACAGAGGACCAGATCGAACCTGTGCTCCGTGTTTTTCATTTAGCTGGTTTTAGGCTTTGCTGTGAACTTCTGTTTCATGTGGAAGTACCAACAGCACGGGAGGTTTTCAAAGATCGTGGCACAGGCTTAGGTGCGTGAGGCACATTTATTTAGGGTGTGGTACATAGAGAATCCTCTCAGTTTTCCTAAGGATAGTATGCTTTTTGTAAGAATGTTTTACAAAATAAGAATTCTGTTTTTATTGATAGTTCTGGACTAAGTCCTGAAGAGTCCAAGAGGCTGACAGCAAACACCAGCCCTGCCGAGACAGAGACCGAAACCCCAGCAGCTGAACAGCCAAAATGCCCACCGGCCTCTCTGGCACCACTCAAAGAGGAGATGCCCTCTCCGTTGGAGTCCAAAGCACAAGCAGCCCAGGAAGCACCAGCGATGACAAAAGGAGGAGAGGAGAGAAGAGAGGACACGCAGCCCAAGCCAGCCAAACCTGCGGAGGCCTCGGTTTCCCCGGATGGGTGCGCAGTGAAACCTGGCGACCACTCTCTCCCCAAAAAAGAGGGAGTCCAAGGAGAATCCGTTCAAGAGAAACCCCCAACTGCCGCTAGTCAAAAGCCCGAAGAGAGAAAGCACGCCGCATCGAAGGGCGTGCTCACGAAAGAGCCTGTCAGTACCTCAGTTTTGGCCCCGAGTAAACCAAAGAGCCCCGAAGCAGGCGCAGTAGCAGCAGACGTGAAAAGTCCAGCGATTACTCCAGAAACGCCAGGAAAGAAGTCCCCTGTAAATGAAGAAATGGAAGTCAGTGTTGAAGCCCCTAAGAGGAAGTCAGAGAGTCACGAAGAAGCTCTTACCAGCCCGGAAAAAAAGCCACGCATCATGGAGAACTGTCAGCACCCGCAGGCGTTTCGGACAGCCCTTTCCTGCGGCGGGGACCCCGGTGCCGCGGGTACCCCCGCTCAAGGTAAAGAGATCCACAGCGGGGCCTTACATGGGTCAGTTCAGCTGGTGGCTCTCACCGAAACGCTCTGTCGGTTCAGTTCCAGTTCTGTGTGTAAATCATGTTACCTTATTATAGCAATGGAAATGTTTCATCCAAAAACGTAAAAGCTCAGCTGTGTGCTAAAGGGAGTCTGCTGGCTGGCTGATCAGCGTAACTTCAGTTAAGTATCTCTTGTGCACCTGCATCTGTTAAGAGATCTCTTGGGCCAGGAGCTCACAGCATTGTGCGGGAGCCCCAGACCGAGCGTAACAGGGGTGCTGTAGGCGGGGGAAGCTGGGGAGAGCCGCGGAGGAACCGCCAGACTGTACCAACAAAGCACGTCGTAGCCAGAGGTGCACAGAGCTTTGCAGAGCACAGAATCACAGAATCACAGCATGTTCGGGGTTGGCAGGGCCCTCTGTGGGTCACC